TGGGTCGGCTCGACCGGGGAAGGACCACGCTCTCACAGAATATCGTCAAATAGTAACGTAATACTGCTGTGTTTCGTATGGTGAGTGTAGAAATCCGGAGACCCTTTTTACTGGAAACAAGGCATTCCATCTTAGTCCTCAGAGTTGACAACGCGTCTGCGATTTGATTCTTAATTGAGGTTAAATGTAGATGTCTATGGGCCACAGCATACACTTACCATCAGGTGGACTGTGTGCTCGTTTGTTACCCTTATAAAATTTCCTTAGTATATACAAATAAATAAGGTTTTTATCATAGACACAAAATATTATAGGCTTACTCATGGACGCCGCCAGGATTACTTTCAGGGAGGTCCAACTGCATGTACACATTATACTATTAACTAATGTAAAATATAGAATTATACATGTTTATACTATGTAGATAAATTTAATATTGATAAATTCAAATCGCGTGGGTATTTTATTGAATATATTTCACTCATCGAAAACATACTTAATCTCTGTAGACGACGGTTGGCACTATTGCTTGAAAAATTCCCGCTGCCGCGCGATATGCTCAGTATTCTCAAGGAAAGAGTATATGAGCTAACTGAATTTATTGACAAGGTTATGAATAAATTTGGACAGCAACCTAGATGGCTTCAGTTTCCTTTTCTGAAAGGGGTGCAGGATGGAAATGCACCCCCTTGCACCTTGTTGCTGGTGAGCTTACAAAACGTAAATAGGAAGTTCCTCGAATGTTTTATTTTAGCACTAATGTTGGTTACCATCCAGTCAAGTTAAGAAATTTCGAAATGTAGTTACTGTATCCTGATAATTAATTTTGCTTTGAAGTAGTCTTTGAGTATTTATAAGCCATGTCATACAAGATCCGATTATCGTTGATGGCGAAATTCTTGAAGTTGTTCAGGAGTATATCTACCTCGGCCAGATAATGCAGATAGATAAAAACAACTTCGAGAAAGAAGCCGATAGGCGGATTCAGTTAGGCTGGGCAGCATTCGGGAAGCTTCGTCAGGTCTTCTCGTCGCCCATACCGCAAAGCTTGAAGACGAAAGTCTTCGAATAGTGCGTCCTGCCAGTACTCACATATGGTGCCGAAACGTGGACACTTACGGTACGACTACTCCATAAACTCAAAGTCACCCGACGAGCGATGGAAAGAGCTATGCTCGGAGTTTCTCTGGTGGATAAGATTCGTAAAGACGTAGCCTTCCGTATTTGCAGGCTGAAGTGGCAATGGGCTGGCCACATTTGTCGCAGAAGCGATAATCGTTGGAGTAGGCGTGTCATTGAGTGGAGACCGCGTTTAGGTAAACGTAGTGTGGGACGCCCCCTGGCTAGATGGAGCGACGATCTGCGCAAGGCGGCTGGCAGCAACTGGATGCGTGAAGCCGAAGATCGGGCTAAGTGGCGCGCCTTGGGAGAGGCCTATGTCCAGCAGTGGACTGCCGCAGGCTGATGATGATGTATTATAAGCAAGCTATGCTTATTTATACTTTAATAGAAAATCGTTTTAGTTTTTGAAAAATGGAAGATAACGGTGAATAAAAATAAATATTTATTTCTTAACTTTTAAACATTTCATCATAACGAGTCATTTATATTTATTGTTTTTAAATGTACACCTGTAATTATAAGATCTCCACATTAACCTTCTTCTTTATAAATGAACACTATGCCAGACTAATGTTATTACATAACAGAAATATCGATAACAGTCATAAAGTAGAAAGAATCGCAAACACCATTTCCATGCTATCATTATATTAAAAAATCTGAGTATTAAATTATCAATTCTGTTTAAGCATTTAAACCGCAGTCATCACAAATACAAAAAATTATGTCTATAAAATGTTTAGCTATTTTCATGTTCAAATAATCAGTAGGACTATATTTAAACGGACATACTAATATTTTTTAAACACACGGAAAACTGCGAGTGCCAAGAGACATGTAAATAAAGTCCAGCACATGAATTGTAATCACATATGAATTATTGATAGAAAACTAAGGTAGATCACGAATAGTTTTACATATTTTATCAAAAGCAATTTCCCCTAACGATATATTCGTTAACAACTATATGTACTAATACATTCTACGCAATTTGATATTTGTAAAACTAATATAGTGCGGGCTCTGCGGAGCACAAGTCGCGCTTATATTTCGCATGGAATGGGGAACCGTTGTTTGGAAACCCTTCAAGGCTCACGGAGGGTAGACGGGCATTTAATATCTTGCCGACATTTCGTCGCCAAATATTTAAGGTGTTATTTTACTTTCCTTTTTACATTATGGTAACAAAGGTTCTGACAAGGAAAGGTCATTCATTTTATACTAGATTCTTAAAACTCAAAAACACTCCTATCTTCGTTCTACAAATCGCTTTATAATATGATGTATAAACCGATTTTACAACAAACTAGCCAACCACCCTGGCTTTGCACAGGGCACACAGAGTATCTTTGGTTGAATGACCTGTCGGTCTCCATCTCGCGGATGGTAACATCTAGAATGGCTATCGCCTGCAATATACAAACAGACATTTTTTACAAAATAAGAGTGACAAACGAGCACATAATTCACCTGATGGTAAGTGCGTGCTGTGGTCTATACACATCCATATTCCCTACGATCTAATCCCAGGACTAAGATGGAATGACTCGGCTCTCAGGGTCTCTACATTCACTACACAAAACATGCTGCCATTTTGGAATCCTGGTATCCTGTGAGATTGTGGTCCATAACATAGCTGCACTATCTCCATACGATCACAATACAGCATCAGATCTACTGCGGGTCTATCACCAGCAATGCACATGTGTATAGTGCGAAGAGATATTGTCGTGTGTGGACATGTTCGAAAATAATTGTAAAAACTACTACCAACAGACCAGTCCTGGTTCAGTTCTTATAAGTATTTTCGGTTTTGGTATGACATAAACTTAACTTTTACTACGTATATTTTTTAAAGATTTCTTTTTTAGTATTGTAGGAATTAATTCCATAGACACTTACGGCGTCGCAGAATTTTATTTAGAACTTTTTGAAAATAACAATTGCACCAAACATTATTTTCATATAGCTTGATCGATATACGCAGAGCACGCCATTAAAGATCTCAGGAGATACGGTATTTTTCGACTTTAACAAGTATTATCCCAACATTAACTAATTTGCAAAACATATTCCATATAAATTATATACCTAAACTTCCATCAGTATGTATATTGGTAAACCAAAAATCCTTTCAGTAATTTCTGAGATTAACACGAACACACGGTACAGACAGACGCGGTGGGGAACTTTAATTTACAATATGTATGTATACATTATTTATTAGGCAAATTATTAAGACTTAAAATGTAACAAATTTGGGCCGTTTTACCTGTTGAATCAGTATTATGTTTTATAAATTATGTTTTTATACACTTCTAGCCAGAGTTGGCTGATTTAAATCAGACCGATTTAAATCATGATTTAAATCACGATTTAAATCGCTTGATTTTCATTAAAAAAATCATTGATTTAAATCAACATGTATAAATTAATGTAATAGGCAGAAAATGAAATAAAACTGGCTTAAAATAATCTTTTATTGTTTTATGTTATTCTTATTATTCTACTACAAGTCTCATAAACTTTGAAAAATCAACAAAGACTGTAACGATAAGGTCTGTCAGTCTCATATACTTAATAAAATCAAACCAAATAATTTTTAAGAAATTCACACTTAAGGTATGCACTGTAATTAATACAGTATTATTTTACACTTAAATAATCTTTAAATCAGTCTCATAGATATATTCATAAACTTTCGAAAATTAATCCAAAATAGATTAATTACATAAAATTACAAAAAACGCTTGCCTGCGTAAACATCTGAAATCAACAAAATAAAATATTTAGTTTTTACTATTTTACATTTTAAAAACAAAAACAAGCTTGCTAGCTTTATCGTTCCCTAATTTATTTCGTAACTTCGACTGAACTAAATCAAATTTTAAAAAGATTCTTTCAACTGACGCCGAAGATGCTGTAGCTGTGAACAAGCTTGAAACTGCTTTAATTAAGGCATGGTTTGCTCCATCATATTTTTTTATAATTGATAACCACCATTCCATTGGCCTTACATTTTTTAAAATCTCTTCGGTGAACATGAACTCGGTGAAAGGCTCAGATCTGGCTTCATATTTAATTATTAACGGTAGCAGTCCAATATTTTGATAAAATTTTAAGGCAAAGTCCATGGCTGAAACACGTTCTTCAGTTGTCAATTTGTGGTTATTTTTTGTTGGATCTATTAGAAAAGCCAACAAATGTGCTGGAGTGATTGCTTGATTTTTTCTCATTTTTAAAGCATTAATCTGTTCCGCAGAAGCTCCGTTACTACCAAATGTGGCCTCTAACTCTTTAAAGCACTGAATTGTGTCACTGAGTATTGCGTAGCTTGCTTGGAGCCTATCAAGTGCAACTGATATCGGTTTTGATATTTGTATCTTCTGCCGATCTTTTGATTATTATATCACTCACTTTTTGTGCAACAACTCTGTCAATGTTCTCTTTGTTTTCTTCACAGATTTTTATCAACTTAGGCCATGCTGCAAGATAACTTGCCAAGCAGTCAGTAAATGTGTTCCAACGTACATCTTGGGGAAGTATCAGCTGTTTTCCCTGCTTTTCCTTGTATTAAGCATTCGCAAAATGGTTATTGCGAAAATATTTCAAGACATGAACTACTTGTTCCTTGACCTCACGCACTGGCAAATCTTTAGATAGCAAATTTAGTAAACGTGCTGCACAGCCATAGGTAAAGTTGTTAATATCGGCGTGCTGATTTAGGTTTAGGTTATCGCGCATTTTTCCCATATTAGAGGCGTTGTCTGTGACAAGGCTAGTTACCTGGCATTCATGGTCATTTTGGCAAGTCATAATCGCTGAATATAGTCGTCATGAGTATTGTGGACATTGGACCACCCATCGATGGACATACTTTATTTTATTATTTTCTTTTCTTCCATATAAATTTGATTCAGCAATCGATCACCTATTGTTTTGCGGGTTGGGGGCCTGTATCCAGGCCGCAGCAACTCAATTGCTTTTAGTACTTCTGGGTGTTCTATAGATGAAAAAGGGCAATTTGTAGCGAACATTGCCCTTGCTATCTGCTTGTCTAGTTTCTCCTTTTGCTCACTTGTAGTAAGTAAAAAATATGAAGCAATTGGCTTTGGTTCCAGTTTCCTCTTCTTTGATGGACTCGGACCCGGAGACAATGGTGGCCCCAGCTCAATTTCAACATGTTCTGTACTCGAACTCGAACATGAGTGTTCCTTTGAAGGATTAGGTAGTACATCTGTAAAATAAAAATAAAACATAATTAATTCCTGTAGTTATAGGCACAAACACAAGAGCAGCCGTACGTAAGCATAGCCGACAGGCCTGAGAGCCGAAATTCTGAATAATTGGTAGATAAGTATGAATGTAAGATTCATATGTTGTTACCTGTGTTACATGTTTTCAAATGTTCCTTTAACCTGTTCACCAAACCCTTCATACTTTTTCCACATTTTCGGCATTCTGCTCGACATCCAGATTTTCCCCTTTCTTTGTTTGACACTTCGATGAAGTTTACCCAAACTGGGTCCTTTTTTCTTCCAGCGTTACTCATTATCGTCAAAATTTGCAAGTAATTTTACAACAATGTCAACAATTTCAAATTATGCAAAGAAAAGAATGACAAATACCGAATTGTTTGACGTTTGTTTTTTTTTGTGTTGCCAGGTTCAAAATTTTAATCCTATTATGTCAAAAAGTATTACCAAAACATAATTTCAAAATATGCAAAAAAATCAAAAAAATCAAAAAATCATGATTTTTTTAAAAAATCAGCATGATTTGATTAAAATTAAAAATATCACGATTTTTTCCATCCCTGCTTCTAGCATTTTACAACGGCTCGAAAAGGAAACCGAAATGTTTGAAAATTTTTCTCAAAGGTGCAATAACTATTTACAATCAGATCTATTCGTAACTCATTTATCACTCTAATATAATAAAAAAAACCCCACGTCTCACTGCTTGGTACAAGCCTCCTCTACCAACGAGCACATTATTCAGCACTTATATTTGAATTAGAAGTCAGTGGTGCGGGTGACGGCAGGACGTAAACTCGAATTGCCCGCGTAGCTCCATATGTGGATGTCATATGACAAGACAACGAGCAATTGCTGACGCCCTGAATTGCTTTATTTAATGTTTTAAAGTAAAAACGAACTCATAATCCACGTGGCGGTTAATGGTAACTACGGTCTATGGACATCTGCAGCCAATTAAATAAAGAAGGCCACAGATGCGTCGTCACCTCTGAGAACTAAGGAATAATGCCTCACAGGCTATAATTACTGGCTATCTCTACCCTTCTGTCCAGAACACGGACGAAACCAAATGTAAAAGAAAAAAAAGATAAACCCCTACCACCAAATAGTACGTATTAGATAGTGATAGTACGTAAAATAGAAAATGTAAATAGTATTTTTAGTATTTGAAAAGGATGAAGAGAGAACGAAATGTGAAATATGGGTAAATCAGGAATGTCTAGAACAGGTAAATGAAATTGTATACTTGGGGACTGCTTTCAGCCGGGATGGAAGATGTGATTTAGATGTGGATAGGCGTGTCGCTGCCGGAAACAAAGTCAATGGTGCCCTGAATGCATTAGTCAAAAGGCAAGGCGTGGTGAAGAGTGCACGCCTTGCAATACATAACGCAGTGTTGGTATCGACTTTGTTTGTTTTGATATGGCAGCCAAACCTGGGTATGCCAGAAGAAGTATAAAAGCAAGTTGAATGCAGTGGAGATGCGATCTCTTCGTAAAATGTGTGGCGTTACCATAGCCGATCGAAAGCGAAACGAAGAGATTCGCAATATGGCAGGATTGAAAGATGACCTTATCACAAAAATTGATAGGGGCGTACTCCAATGGTTTGGGCACGTTGAGCGAATGAGTGAAGACTGAATGGTGAAGAAAATATATAGAGCGAAAGTAAATATTAAAAGGTGTCGAGTTAGACCGAGACTAACTTTCGAAGACCATGTGAGCAAATTGCTCGAAGAGGGGAAGGTCAAGAGTACTCGGATACCTAGACGTGCATGTATGAAGAAGTTAATGAACCTGAAAGAAGCGAAAGAGGTATGTAAGGATCGTGACACTTGGCGATCTGTTCTCTCTGGCTACCCCGTTAGGGATTGTGCGTGAAGATAAGTAAGTAAGTAAGTAAGTAAGTAAATAGTATTTTTAATAAGATAGAGAGTTCGACTATACTGAATGAGGCAGCATTCTCTCACGGTGATTCCATTTCACTGCCCGAATAATTAAACTTGGAAAGACGTCGTTCTTAGTCGTTAAGTAACATTCTTAGACAATTTGCTCTTTCTTACTAACATTATTACAACTATAACTTATAGCGAAGGAATAAAATAGGAATTAATTATTAATAAAATATCTCAAACCCTTCTGAGCTAGGGAATTTAGACTATTGCATTAAATGCTAATATTAAAGCTCGAAAAGTTTTATAGGTTTGTTGGTTAATGAATTGTAAAAGACATTCATGATAGAAATTACCTTTAACAGTTTACTGATGAGGCGAAGATTGTAGTTTTGAATTCCAGTTGAAACCAATAGCTCCGCTAATTCTGCAAAACAAAACAAATATAATTATACACTGCGCGGTAAAGGAAAAAGTAAGGAAACCTGCATTACCGAGAAATAAAAATAATCGCAGCACAATGCTATGTTGGATCTTGCCTTAAAACCTCTTAGGAATGGAGTCCAGTGCAGAAGTGGGACGTATAAAGGCTGTTACTTAAAAAAAATATCTCATTCCATTCCAAGCTCCTTTTATTACCAATAAAATTTAATTTACTCTACTTAGTCCACTACCCAATGGTGTATCGTAAGAACCTACAGATGGAAATGAAGCAGGAAATGGGCATCAATATATTTCTGGTAAAAACAGAAAATAATAAAAAAACTTCTGTTGCTAACCCGCCTCTGCCACGCGTGGCAACTATGGCGAAATTTCCTCTACGATGGCTATGTGTGCTAGAAGTGGATTTTTGATGGGCTATAATAAAGTTATAAAAATTTACTTATGTACGAGTATACAATACCAGAGGTAACAAGTGTGTGATTTTATGTATGCGTGAATTCATATCATACTCGTCCTAATCATAGTAGTGATATTTTTTAATTGGCCATTTACAAAAATCAATCATAAGACGGCATTTTTTAAAATATCATTTGTCATCAAAGCACAACTTTGTCAACGTCAAACGATCGTTATCGAATGTAATTTCCTATCATGTAGTTTTTTTTTAAATACGTTCATTATGTAATTTAAAAATAAATATTCTACTTAGAGTTTCTTTTACGCAAACACAATAGTAGAATCTTAATGTTGATTATATATTAGATGACGGGCTAAAATTAGTTAAAGGTGAACGTCATATTAACTATCTCTTCTCTCGTCTTCAAAATCAGTTATTGTAATTTTCTGTCAAGAAGTTCTTAGAACCAGCCCAGAATCAGTCAGTCAGGAAAGAATCAGGAAGTTGATCTCGGAAAAGCACTTAACGCTCTCCGATCGTGTCAGACGGGCGTCCCATCGGACTATGAGAATGATCCGTGCAATAGGTATATTCCGTTGATATTAGCCGATGTGACCGAAATTCGATCTGGAGGACATTGTTATATCTTCTCTTTTAATCATATATTATAATTTAATTTCGTTAATTACATTTCGTTTACTTCATCGTGACGTTACCAACGGTAGGAAGTATCAATAAATAAAAGAATAACGTAAAAAAATGCTTAATATTAAAAATTTATGCATGAAAAATAAAAAAATTATAATGTTATAGTGTTTTAAATACGAATATTGAGTACATATGTATTAAGTTAATTTTCCAAAAGATAATATTTTCAAAGTTAATTTACATGATGAAATATTAGAGACAATAAATTATAATAATTGTGCAGGTACCTGTTTGGTATTGGCGGCATTGAATATTGATGACTTTATAAGATTATATAGGTAACAGGTAATACTTCTAAATTTTCCAAGGTAACACATGCATCACAGCAACCGGATTAAATTTTAAAAAACCATCACAAGTTCTTTTAATCAAAGTCTTGCGACGACGTTATTGACGTAAAAAATAATATATACAAAAAAATAAGCATATTCACTAAACTAGAAAAAAAGGATGGTCTTTTAAATAAATAAAAATAGCTTCATTATTATTAATGTTACTTCTTAGTATGATGAAATAGTGGCTTTTTCTTTACATTATAAAATATATATTACATCTTTATAATATATATCATTTATTTAAATAAAAAATGTCCCTGGAGATTAGACCAGCACCATCAATATAATGACAGTTACTAGATGCTAAACTAAGTTATACTAATATCACATAATAGTTTTTTTTTTTCAAGAGTATGAGTGATAAACGAGCACACAGTCCATCAGATGGTAAATGGATACTGTAGCCCATACCCAGGCATTTATCCTGAATTTAGAATCATAATTCAGATGTTTTGTCACCCCTGAGCAATGCGATGGAATGTCTCGTTTCCAGCAAAAACCACATAAAACACTGCAGAATTATGTTGCTATTTTACACTGATATTTCGTGAAAGCGTGGTAGTTTATGGTTGAAATGTAAATTAATGCAAATATAGATATTTAAAATTAAAATATCACAATGAGAATTAAGAACAACACATCGAAGTTGGTAGCGCCTTAAGAGAATCCAACATTCAGCGTGAATACAGAATACCAGCGTAAAATTGCAGCTGTTTCGTGTGACGAGTGTAAAGAACCGGAGACTACCTTGTTTACAGTAAAAAGGTTACTGTAAACAAGGTATTCCATCTTAATCCTCGGGGGTGACAACGCGTCTGGCTTTTGATTCATTAATGAGGATAGATGTAGATGTCTACGGGCAACAGCATCCACTTACCATCAGGTGAACTGTGTGTTTTTATGTAATCTTTATTCTATAAAAACAAATTCAATACTCGTCTTGTAGGTATCGTAAAAGACTATGGCGTATGCCATAAAGATCTTGTGACTTCCGATTGATAGCAATATAACCACCTCGTTAACACCAGATGTAAAAGACTATGGCGTACGCCATAAAGATCTTGTGACTTCCGATTGATAGCAATATAACCACCTCGTTAACACCAGATGTAAAAGACTATGGCGTATGCCATAAAGATCTTGTGACTTCCGATTGATAGCAATATAACCACCTCGTTAACACCAGATGTAAAAGACTATGGCGTATGCCATAAAGATCTTGTGACTTCCGATTGATAGCAATATAACCACCTCGTTAACACCAGATGTAAAAGACTATGGCGTATGCCATAAAGATCTTGTGACTTCCGATTGATAGCAATATAACCACCTCGTTAACACCAGATGTAAAAGACTATGGCGTATGCCATAAAGATCTTGTGACTTCCGATTGATAGCAATATAACCACCTCGTTAACACCAGATGTAAAAGACTATGGCGTATGCCATAAAGATCTTGTGACTTCCGATTGATAGCAATATAACCACCTCGTTAACACCAGATGTAAAAGACTATGG